TTACACTAACTGAACTTTAACGTTTAGCACTAAATAATAATAATATTAATATTAGTCTAGAAGTTTTTTTTTAGCTTGACATTCGCAATACAATTTTTTTCTAATTATTATTTACCTGCTGATATAAGACGACCTTTTAATGTGATCTAAATAATAGGAACTATTACGTTAGTCACATAAATACCTTCGTTTTATAATTTTGCAAACTCAAAGCTAAAAACAGAATTATTCTATGAATCATTTAAAGAACCCAAAATTCTTGATGTGACATCTGTAAGCTTCTCATCTGATTCTTTCCATTTCCCATTATGTGAAAGTTTTTGTGATAAAACACTCATATTACTCTCAGCAAAAGTAACTACAAATTCTTCACATTTTTTCCATATAATTTGTAAAAGTGATGAAGGAACCATATCCTCTACTGGTTTCTAAAGATAGCATAATGATAAATTAAATGATGTCTAGCACTAGATCAAAAAAAACATAAGATTATATATGAAAAAAAAAGAATTTTACCATAAAAGATTCCTTCAGCCATTCTGGTAATTTTTGTGCCAGATCTAAATTATCGCTAATTACTTGATTGGCTAGAGAATCTTTTCAAGTTAAGTCAGAAATAGATACTCCATTTACACCTGAAAACAAATGCTAGTAAAGCTGTGACGTATTTTTTCTGAGTTTACCCTTCAGTGTCTTGATATTTTTTTGATTTTATCTAAAATAAGAGGCCTTTCTCTGTTCATTTTCATCGCGCTGATATTACATAAACTACAGACTGTTTTAAAGTCAATTTTGAACTAATGCAAACATATAATTAATTAGCCTAAACATATATGTTTAAAAAATTATTAAAAGCGCATACGCTATCAGATTAAAATAAAGCCTTATTCTCGCATAGTTAGCTACTCTAATACTCAAATAAAGACTTTATGTTATACTTAAATAATCACATTGAATTAAGCATATAGCTATAGCCTAACTATCCTTCATACTGCTAAGAAAAAATCCTGTGAGTGGGCTAATATGGTATTTAGTCTATTATGCTTTCTTCCTCCAAATGGTATTACTGTCTACGTTATTTATTACTCAAATAAATTCTAGTTATCAGTAGCTCAAAGCTTGATATCTTATCTCTGGTAGAATTTCAAGAAGAGTAGTATGATATGAGGAGTCTCGTTCATATTGATTTTTTACAAATGCTACAGCCTACTTGATAATACTTTTTAGCTTGTTTTAATTTATCCAGGAATTTTTTTTGATTTCTTGGTAAATAACAGACCCAGCGGTAATATTCACTTCCTCAGCACTTGACAAGAAATTATAAATTTTAGTGTATAAATCAGTAGGCATAACTAAATAAAAGAATTTACAAGACATAAAAATACTCAACTCCAATATACTGCCCAGTCATTTTAAATTTCCATTCATACCCTCTCTAATTCACATTCATGTTGGAGGAAGAGAAAGAAAAATATGCAAGACAGTTTATGCTGAAAGTTTGTGTTCGAGAATAAGAATATACAAAATATGCATTAAAGATCTCAACTTTTAGAATGATATTAAGGACAATGCATATACAGACTTTTTTCGCTTGCCTGACTGCTTAATAGTTAATATTAAGACTCAGCAATATTATATAAATATATTCTGCTTGGAATCGGTAGTTTCAGAGAGTCTGTCCTTCTGAAACAAAAAATACATATCAGTAAATGCTATTTGACCAAATGTTGTAAGGAAAAAAATTTGAAATATTTTTGAAGATCGATTTTTTTTGTATGAAAATTAATTAGTTACATAAGTAATCACATAAAGTTATAGATGATTGTGGTGTATCACTATTACATCATATACAATTTAATGAGAATCAGAAAACGTGCTAATTTATGTCTCATACTGTTCTCCTACATACATTGTGGTTAGACAGTATATTATTTTATTAAGATAATATTCAGGATCTGGGTCAAGAACTGATCTAGAAAATTCAGTGCACAAACTCATAATTATTATTTAAGTTTGTAAAATTCACGATAATATCCTTCCTGTAAATATGATATATGTATTTTAACAGTGAATCACATATAGGTTTCATTTTTGATGATTTAATCTTATATACCTCGTATTCTGAAATTCTGATGAAGTATATAAAATTATACTTTTTATGAATACTATAATATTTGGGATTTTGTAGTCATTTTAATATGTCAAGCTAGTATGTATCTCTAACAACTATATAACTTTGCTGATATAATAATTTTTTAACAAGTATGAATGTTACAAAAGATAATCATTGTCATAACTGGGCTCTTTTCTCATATATCCAATCATTTCTTACTGGATAATAACATTCCTCATACTCATAACAAATATATCCTGATTGTCTTGATTTATTTTTTATACCTAAAAACTTTTTTTCATTAGGAGTACCATTATTTCTCACCACCTCTCAAACCTATTTTTCTAATGACTCAGACCTCTTCTTGTAATTTCTATAAGTTCGCTGGATAACTATTACATAGAAATTTTCAAAGCTATAATAATAGTAGTATTTAAGAATCAAGAATCCTCAAAATCGCTTCATTGATTTTCCTAAACTTCTCAAAAAATACTTTATTAAAATAGTTATAGATTAGAGGATCTAATCAGAATAGGCAGATCATGCATAGCGCCTTAGTCTCGCACATGATACATTTACTAGGTGATTAATTATATATACAGATTATGTAATTATTCATTTCGCAAAAAAATATATCATGAATAAATTATGTATTTATATATAGTATTTTTGGCTAAATATAGTTGAGATAAATAATATTAATATTCAATTGAAAGATATTACAAAGCGTCTTAACGGCTAAGTCTATTTTCTTGCATTTTTTGCACAGAAGTGATTCTTTTAAGACCAGCCTAAAATACTCCTAAATTTAGTTATGGGATCGTAAAAGATATTATCAATAGTACTTTTTATAATAGGTAATAGTACTTATTAATTCAAACATAAACCTTCCTGATAAATTGAAAATAGGTCTATATACTACCTTATCTAACTATCGTCTTAACTGATGTTTCTTAGCTTCTATCCATTCATTAGGGAAACAATAAATATATTTCTTATATGGTGGAGTATATTTGGCTGGATTAATTATTCTAATATATTTTGAATACCTTTTTCTAAATAAAGCATAAAACTTATCACAAGTTACAGCATACTCTTCTTGCATCTCAGGATTTATTACCTTCTGATTTTTCCTAATCATACCTAAATATTTCTTTTTGTCAGGAGTATTATCATTTCTCACCATATTCTAGACTCGCTATGCCTTCATTTCAAGTTTCAACTTATAACTCCACCAAGCCTATTAGATAGCAATTACACTATTAGTTATGCAAACTACAATCTCTTTCATGATTTCTTCTTTTTCTGTATCATAACCGCTAAAGTTTTTTCTGAAGGTACTGTTTAAATAATACAAATTATTATTATAAAACTTACTAATCTCTTTTTTAGAACTAAGTACTCTATTAATTTTCATTTTCATAATATAGATTTATAATATGTAATACGCCTTTCCTCTATTTTAGCAATACATTCATTTAGATGCTTTTCTGTGCATTTTTCAGTATTTTCACAGATAAATACTAAGGATTCACATGCAATGCAATAAATATAAAATGTAGGCCTTCCAGGTCTGAATTTCCTATCTTCATATAATCTTTCAGTCATATGAATATATTCATTCCTTGAGAAGAATGTTAGGTTATATTCGATAAGTTTCCTAAATGAAACATGAATACAGAAATATCACATTTTTGGCATTTTATCACTATATCTATAATGCAGATTAATTATCGCTTGTACTACTATAGGATTTAAATCAGAATAGATAGTTTTAACCATTTTTATAGTTTATAACTGATCTTAGTGATTTATAGCTATTTAGTGATTTATAACGTTTTTAGCAATTTATAGCAAGTATATTATAATAAAATATCACATTCATTTTTATTTTTTTGATTCAGCCCAATCAGTTAAACTATGCACAGTTATAATTTATATCACATGTGATCTCTCTAGTTCCCTGCCAGTTTTTCGATAGTTTTAAAAGAGTTCTAGGAGCTAGTGAGTTTCTATGCACAGCACCTTCGACTAAATCATGAGATAATCAGCTAATCAGATTTCAGATTTTTTCTTTAGCCAGATAGGTATAACAGAAATTCAGGAAAATAGTTACGAATAAAATGCACATGCAAAAATGTTTGATGGTAGAGTCTGAACACAGTGTCTGAGCTCGTCAAAAATGCACAGAAGTGGGATCAGCATCTGGTTAAATTTATTTTCTGAAATAGCTAGCTATTAAGGTACTTTGTAAGTTATGTATATATGACTATCTGATGGTAGAGTCTGAACACAGTGTTCAGACTTAACTTAATTGCACAGAAGAAATGATGCAGTACACTATCTTCTGGTAAACGTGACAAAATTTAATAATTGAAAATTTTGATCGTTCTCTGAGGGAATAGTTTTAATAATTCAGGATAAAATTTTGATCTGTAGTTTAATATATATTGATATCTATACAATAAAGCAAAAACGTTATTATGTATATGAAAACATCTTTTTATTTTTCTAATGTATAATATGTCATCATAAAATCATTCTTGATACAACGTATATGCTATGATATGTAGATTAAATCCTGCAGAAGATTTTTTATACTAAAACATCCTGGTCATCAGCCTAATAATACTAACTTATAATTAGTTTTCTAATCATTAATACTATATGGAAAGTGAACTCATTGAGCATAATGTAAAACAACATCTATTTATACATTAATACTAAAATTAAATATATAGCAAAATATATAATAATAGTGAAAAGTAATTAGTTAATGTTATTGTGGATATTATTAAACAGCTGATATCTATGGTAAGTCTATTTTATATTCTAACTTAAATACATAAACTCACTTGAATAATTCCTCAGAGATTTTTAATATGTGTCAAACTGTTATTCCTTTGGATCGAAGTACAACTCTATCAATTTCGCCTATAAGTTCTTCTTGTTTCGTTATTTCATTCTGAAGAAAAGTACCATCACTGAATAAGTATTTTGGAAAATAAAATATAAATGCAGATCATAAGATACACATACATGAAAAATGGTCATCATCCTGAAAATAGCTTTAAACTGATTCTGGCTATGAAAGCTAAAAAGGACTGTTGCGATATTAAGTTCTGAAGAGATAAATCTTCCATCTGGAAGCATATTAAATGTATTTGAGTGACTAAAAAAGTAAAACGTAAGTAACAGAAAATTCAACCTTACTAGTCATACAGACATATCACTTATCAATAATTTGGATACAAAAACTTTTATTTTTGTCCATGCGGAGTGTTTTTATTGTATTATCTAAGGTGTGTATATCTATCATATTACATAATCCGCTAGCTACCTCTATGTGCCATATACTTAATCTATCATAATATCTAGTCACTATGGAATCTACTTTAACAATTTCTGAATTTGTCTCAGATTTCGTAATTCTTGCAGAGTGGGCGTGAGACTCGATCTAGTTAAAATTGAGGTTAAAGAATGTTTTCTCATAAAATTTATAAATTGATGAGATTTGGTAAGTTATATATTTACGTTCGCCTATTTTTTTGTTTATCGTAAGGTTAATATTAATTAAATTGTAGCTAAAGAGTAGTTGTCAGTATTTTCTCTTGATTAACTAATAAGCCTCAACATTTATTTACAAATCAAGAAGAACTTTCTCACAATACAAATCGGAAAAAGTTGTCTAGAATACCAATTAATGTAGTATTTTTAAATTGTTTTCCAGATTTTTTTAGGACATTGTCAATGTATTTTTCTAATTCAGACGTTCATATTTCAGGGTTAGTATCACATACAAAAGAAAGTTTGTTTGTAAGTTCTGAGCTAATTTCTAAAATCAACTCAGTAACTGACTTATTAAATGCGCATATTACAGATATATCTTCAGAGTATCTGGAGGAATTTGTAAGACACTATTAGATTGCCTCTCATTAATTAAGTATACACAGTAAGAGAGACTTACTAAAGAATTTCTTCATTACTTATCAGTCACTTATTAGATATTATTTTTAACTGAGTTAAATCACGCAAAGCTTGTAATGGGATTTTAGATACAGTTGTAGAAATTCTATTGATTGCGAATAAGCAGTACTATTCAGTCTCCTTATTTTCTCAGATTTCTTCTCTTTGTTTGAGTCATTCATTCCAGAATAATCAACACGTTTCATCAATCGAGATGATCTATGGACTGAGGGTTCTCCCTGCAACATATTCATAATTAAAAAAATTCTTTAGCTTATAACTGATCGTGATAAGACCTATCTTTTCTTTACTAACGTTACTGATTCTTTAATCCACTTATTAATTTCTGTGTTAGTAACTTTAGTGATACCTTTTTAATATTTCGTGATGCGTTCTTGCTTATAAAAGAAAATAGAGATTGTAATAAGCTCATTTTCTATAGTAAAAAAATAAGAATCTGACAAATATGCACTCACAAACTGAACTTCGCAATCAGTCTTCTGTTTGTTGATCACTTCTTCATTTTTATAGAATTGAATGTATTGTTTTTTCTGTGTCTCAAAATGAAAAGATAGCATTAGTTATAAGACTCACACAAATTAACTCAAAATGATTAGGAAGGAGTGGTTTAGTTCCAAGCAACTGCAGTCCTCAGACTTCCAAACTTGAGCAATTGCAATCCTTAAGTTTACTATCAATCAGGGTTATATGAGCGATTGCAGTTCTCATACACTAGAAGTAAGCGACACGCAGTCTCTACTTCCTTTCAGATACTTAAGCCCTCTTCTAAACAAGAGGCTCTATTCTCCAATGCATAATATATAAAATAGTTTACTTATAATCCAAGTATCTTAATATTCTTCAGAATACGCATTATATCTTCTTTAAAGAAATTTGATTTGAGTATTTCCTTCAAATCTTAGGCTATCACTTGATATACTTGCAAAAGTTTGCTATCTGACATTTTTTACTAATAGTAATCAATATATTATCAGCAGTTATAGAATTAATCACAGATATAACATCGGGTTGAGTGAGGAATTGAAAAAGTGGTCTTTTGGAGAAATATTCCACTGAAAATGAAGAATTAGTAAAGTTGCGATAGATCAGATGAAAGATTTGTTCTACATACTTTTTTTTATTGATGCAAGTAGAAAAAGAATAATAAAAGAAAGAAAAGATATTCGTGTAGAGAAGAAAGATATTCATGTCAGTATTTCTAAGCCACAGCTTTATTCATTTTATTATGTGTGTATATAATTTGTAACACTGATCACTTTTGCATTTAAGACGAATTTTTATTTATTTTTCAGATACAAGAGGGGGTACGCGGATCTTAGGCTATTTAGTACGAATCCCAGCATCAATTTATTTCTTTGTTCTCTTAAGTTTTTTATAAACTTCTATATCTAATTTATTTCTATCACTATTACAGTCAACTCTTGTTATAGCGAACTCTTGTTATAACAATAACGAATTTTTTGAACAAATATAATAAAAATACTCTTGTTATAGTGAATTGGCCAATCAAATCTCTTAAAATCTTCACTATAGCCTTATAGCGAAGTTGAGGTCTAAGACATAGAATTCATTATAACAAGAGTTGACTGTACTAACTACAAGATTCTTCACCCTTACACTCTTTTATTATACTAGATTTCTAAAATAAATTTTTTTACATATATCTACAGAATTTTCGTCTATCTATATCGTTCCCATACACACAGACTATGTAATAGATTATTTCCTGCAAGAGGGTCCCTTTGGGATCAAGTAATTTCGGAAGATTAGCAACTGAGGTAAAAAAAATAATATTTCCTATAATCCTATTCATACTTACCTATATATTTCATTTTTACAATTACCTTATATACAAGAAATTAATTACTTATTTTTTCTGCTTTATCACTGATCACGATATTGCGCTAAGTTTCAAGAATTCAGTACTTAAATTATTTAATATACTGCATTAGACTTTGCTGTGCTGTTGCATATGACGAGATTTATGTAAGTAATTTCACTGCATCTATTGTACGCGTAATGATGGTTAGTGATTTTCTCAGCAAAGATCAAAATGCTAATATATAACAAGTATGCCCATTTTATTTTATAACATCTATAGAGAAGGGAAATTCAATTAATGTCATGATGTCATGTTTCAAGAATCTAGCTGAACAATAAACCAACTTATCTTATTAACTCTTTATTATTACTTTGTGAAATATATAAGTTCATTTGATGTAAATAATGATAAGATCTAAATTGTTGAATTTTTGTTTAATTTTTGCTTTTTTGCGTAAGACAGATAAAAGGATTCACTAATCAGGATATCACTTTTTTATATAATTTGCAAGATTGATTTTGTTATAAACTTTTGGAAAAAATTACATTAATATGATTGCATCATGAAAATCTAATCAACAGATTTGCTTAAAATCATAATAAAAAACTTTGACGCTACCCATATACAAAGATCAACAAGTAGTCTTTTTGTTATATATAAAGCTTTGAGTATATGCAGGAAAGTTTAAGAAAATACATGCAATTACTTGTTTCTGTGATATATGTTGTTATTTTTAATATTACTGTGCATTTATCAAGAAACTTGTTCAAGAAATTTTAGCATACACAATTCCCTTAATCCCTCAATTGACACCATATGAAAAAAATATAATGTCTGATAAATTTATTGCGCTAATTGTACCTTTGCTTTATTGATCGTTGAGAAAAATATATTAAATATAAGCCTTAATCCGCTACATGATGATACTATTCCAAACTAATTTATTCAGTTTTACAAGATAGTCTACTAATATATCTTCCAGAATTCTGTAATTTTGAAGTTAATAAATTTTTTTTACAATAGTAAATTTCTCCCTAACTCTTTTGCAAGATCTGACATTATCCATCAGAACTATATTATATTGCACGAATCTATCATATTATTAATCACATTATATCATAGGTGTAACCTATACTATCAAATTATCATATAATCTTCGAAAACAGTTCCCTCAAGAAACGATCAGAATTACACAAATTTTTTGATCACAAATTGTGAGTAGACTCAAGGACATTTACATCGCTTATATATTCCTTCTGCTACTTTCTTACACTTTTTGCAATATAGATGTGAGTGATGATTGCATTCCTCACAACCTTACAACCTTACTTCCATCCCCTAAATATATACTATTTTTCAAAATAGTTCTGCCTATCCCTTAATCTGTTGATCTGCAGGAGATGACTTATCCTAATAGCTTTTCTTGATAACATATCCTGTTAGTTTTTCTTTTTTTGAATGTACTATATGAGAAAAAATTTAATAAAGTCAAAAAATTTTCATATATAAATTAATAAGCCAGAAATAATCATTTGAATGTGTTATCTGCCATGTTATATGATAATTGTGAAGACTCTTCACACTTCTAACCAATAGAACAATAGAAGCAGATCTATCAGATTATAAATGTAATTTCAATGATGTCTTATTTGCATATTCTTAAATCATATACTTATCTGCGTAGGATATCTAAATGCTGTGTGATAGACTCTCACATGATCGAACTATACGAACTTGAATTTATTGCTTGAAGTGTTGCAGGTAAGATAATATTCTAACTTATCTTGAGAATAGAACTTCACTAATTCAGGATCATAAGGGAGCTGATTCCCATTTTCGCAGTACTATGAGCCATGTAATCTATAATTCCCATGTTTTCCATCACAAATAGGATATGGTAAGCTTTACAGCTGAAGTGATGCAAAATTATAATAATCAATCCTTCTGAAACTATTTCAGAATTTCAAGTATATGAAATGCTCTAATACAGATTTGATAATTAACTCTAAATCAGGTTTGACTTCAAAGGCGATAGGCTTGAAATCAGAAGCTTGAGATTCTGCTAACATATTTATCATAGCTTTTGGTAATTACCATGGTTCATTTCCAGTTGCTTTCTTATATATTTTATATAATTTGAAGCGAACTTTATCTGTCAAAATGCTTGGTAACCCACTTAATCTGACATACCAATTTAGATATTTGGGGGTTAATACTTTATTAGACTTAGTCATATTGTCTTTTTATATAATTGCAAATTATTTTAAATTATAGTAAGTATAGTCGATGTAGATTAGCCTTATAAAAAAAAATATCACAATAAAGTGTGAGCAAATATACAGTATTGTAAAATAATAAGACTATGCAATTATCTCAATTTCATAATGTTCACACTTAATAAAATAGGATCTGATTTTATATTTACCTTATATGCTTTTCTCATTATCATGATCTAACTTGCATAATGGGTATAATGTCTTATCAGTAATGCTATAATAATCTATATAAGTTGGAATATTAATCCAATATCTTGTTACGAAAATAGGAGCGGTCATAAAATTGAGATGCAAATAATACATTTGCTGATGTACTTATTTTCAAGGGATTCGCTTATATCTCAGTCTTATTGGTTTTTGAAGTCACGTATCTGTTCCAATTTAGAATGGAGTCTTCATAACCTATATCATCTGTATTAGTAGTAGAGTTCCAGACGAGTTGAATTAACTCACAAGTCAGATAAGCTGAGTCGAGTTTGAATCAAGTTGAGTTTATATTTTTTTGACTCAATAATTTGCGAGTCAAATCAAATTTGAGTCGAGTTAAATATTTAACTCAACTCGATTTAAACTCGACTCAAACTCGACTTGACTCAAGTTGACTTGAAATAGTATTATTAATAAATTAATATTTTAGAACTATAAAAATTATACATTATAATAATTGAAATACTTTATAATAGTTGAATTGTATTAATAGTTAATAATTGAAAT